GTAGCTCGACTAACTCATAAATGTTCAGGTACTACCCAAGCAACAAAAAGTGGGTTTTATAATTATCCTGGGACCACCGTTTTTCACGATTATAATGGACTAGTAGACTCTTATAACCACGGAAAAGGGCCCATTTTATAGGCGTACTCTTTCTTTTAAGACACCCATAGTATACTTGGTGACTACCGCTTAGACGAATAGTTTCCTTATAGTGGGAACACGTGACACTATCTGCTCCCCACGAAGCCAACTAACAGCGCTTTAAAGAACCATACACGGTTTTAATGTACTCCGGGCTGATATTACAAGCTCTTCAAAATTTGGTTGTGAATGTGTCAACTGTGGTGCGTGGCGTTGATGCCCATAAAATATTAAGGTAAGTTATTTCATTCATTTCTATTTTATAATAAGTTACACTATCATACAATACAATACATGCGTTCGGGTGGCAAACATATATTTTCGGTGAAGTATATTATGTTTCAAACTAAAATTTTTACTCGCCTTTTGAAATTAGCGTATTTATTAAGGTGCATTTCAAAATAATATTGATTTTAATAAGGCATACTGTTAAAATCGCCATTTTTATGTACCTAGCTCTCTGAATTTCATTACAGAGCCATTATAAACGTATTTGGTTTCAAAAAAGTTTGCATTAGGAACAATATAGATCAAGTAATACGCCATGTTCAGAATTAGGGTTCGACAAACATTACTATAACCCATTGATTTTCAATGGGATATTACTTAACATATAGGGACCATTTGTAAAAAAATAATGTTCCTAAATTATCGTTAGGTATACATGTCAATAGCAAGTAGGAAATAAAGTAGCCAAACATAAATTATGATGATGGTGTTTACAATTACTTCAAATAGTGATATAAATAAGCCCCCCCCCCCCCCTCTCAACATACCTAAGCAGTGTAAACTGTCTGCCAGTGTCAAAGTGAAGATTTCAAGATTAATGCATAATTTAACAATTCTTAAATAGTTAATAAAAACTTGTTTGTGTATTTTTATGTTTAGGTGTCAACCACTGAATCTAAGATGGTAATGTTTATGGACGTCGACCGTTTTATGACTAAAAAGAATTTTCAAGCTTTAAAAACTAGAAGATGGCCTTGGAACGTAACACATTTCATGTTGTCTCACAGTTGTCATGGCTGTGGCTATAGAATTTGAAAATACTCTGGAGGACGACCAATTCATTTTGTTATGGAGGAAGAACACATAAGATCATTATTAAAAGAAGATAAATTTTGGTGTGAAAATTGCAAATTTTTCTCAATTTATGACCACTTCACCAGTGACGAATGTGAATTTTGTTATTTTCTAAAATTAAAGCTAAACCTAATCTGACGTAGTCAAAATTATTAAGTCTTTTATGTCATTAATTATTACATAGGTTACATACATGATTCCATCCATACAATACATATTGTTAACTTACGTGTACTTGCACTATGCTCATATTATGGTATAAGTATAGAACGTTTTAGTATCTACTAAACGTTTTACTAAACATTAATTAACAGTATGTACATACTAAGTAGTAAGCAGTAAACTGTTGTAAAAAATAAACATGTAGGTACCTGATTGATAAGTTTTGTTAGTTGGAGAAGTAAATTATATAACTGAAAAACGTGCCATAATTTTGTGTACTTAAATGTGTATAAGTTTTGTTAATGAGAGAAGTAGTGATAAGTTTTGTTAGTTGGAGAAGTAAATTAAATAACTGAAAAACGCGCTATAATTTTGTAGAGTTTAATAAGTTACTCAATAATTTTGTGTATAAGTATATAACTTTTATTAATGAGAGAAGTAGTGATATGTTTTGTTAGTTGGAGAAGTAAATTAAATAATTGAAAACCGTGCCATTATTTTGTATGGAGTAATAAGTAAGTCAATAATTTTGTGTACTTAAAAGTGTATAAGTTTTGTTAATGAGAGAAGTAGTGATTAATTTTGTTAGTTGGAGAAGTAAATTAAATAACTGAAAAATGTGCTATAATTTTGTGAACAGTAATATGTAAGTCAATAATTTTGTGTACTTAAAAGTGTATAAGTTTTGTTAATGAGAGAAATAGTGATAAGTTATGTTAGTTGGAGAAGTAAATTAAATAACTGAAAAACGTGCTTTAATTTTGTAGAGAGTAATAAGTAAGTCAATAATTTTGTGTATAAGTGTATGTTTTGTTAATGAGAGAAGTAGTGATATGTTTTGTTAGTTGGAGAAGTAAATTAAAAAACTCAAAAACGTGCCATAATTTTGTAGAGAGTTCTAAGTTTTGTTATTAAATTGAATTACCAGATATGCTTTTGTAACGTTTCAGCATTGATTATCGTTTGTCGTAGTTATAAGTTTTGTTGATATAAAAAGAGACTTAGTATTTACCTAGTTCTTTATTTTATAGTTCCCGAGTATTTTTAATTTTCGATGTATTATGTATGGTGTACAGAACACGGTTGGTAGGTAGGTAGGTGGGAATTTCACATGCTTGTAATTGTAGTAGTATAATACCTAGTCTTTAAAAAGGTGCAGAACAGGTAGCTGTTCTATGTGTCGGTAGACAGAACAGATTTGGTTAGTTACGGACTTGGTATTATAGAAAAAGTTGATGAGTAGGTAGTACGAACATGTGGAACTAAAGCAACCGTGTGCCGAACCTGCCGAACCAATATAATTTGTAATAAGTACATATAATAAAAACAATGACTAGATATAAATATGATACTTAGCGAGTAAAGTTAAGTCGGTAATAGTCGTTATAATTTGAAAAACGCAAAAAGTATACTACTATATGTTGTGTGTATGTGTAAATGTTGAAGTTTAAGTATCACCGACTTAACTTTACTCGCTAAGAATCATAATTATATCTAGTCATTGCTTATACTTATTTTGTATTGAAAAGAGAATAAAAGACTAAAATATTATTAATGACTGGGCCACGAAGACTAAGTAAGTATCAAATGAATATATTTCAAACATAAAATGATAAGACTATATATTTTAATATAAAGTAGCACCGCTACTAATGTTAACATTAGAAATGCTTTACTTAAATAGTTAACCTATCGAAATTGTTTTATCAGAATGAAATAAAAATTTACTACAAAAAATCGCTTTTTATTTATTATTACGTAATGCACATAGAAAATGTTATCTCACAAAGTATGTAATAAAACACTGACAAGTTTACATTTTACATTTGATATTCTTAAAACTTCTTCCTTCCTTTTGTTGTTGATTTCATTATAATTACATTGATATATATTTGAAAAGGATGATTTTAGTGGTTCTTCGAATGCATATTGACTTTTTTTACCAACATAACCACGTATTTCGATGTCATTGTGTTTTTGTTCAAAATTTCTAATAACGCATTTAACGCCGTATGTCGTATATTGTACTCAACAGCCCATTCTCTAACATCACAACACAATTAAAAAAATCCCTGATATTTTGAACTGCCTTCGTCTTCTATACTATATTCACTTCCTTGCAAAGATTCTCCACTTATATTTTTCTCTTGCTGTGAATCTGAATCAGCGTTATTCTATGTTGAATTATCAATAACAACATTTTGTGTGAATATTTCACATTGGCAATTTTGTGCGGAACCTTCGCCAACTTTTACGTCACTTTCCTTGCCTGATATAAAACTGCGACCTGACACATGAATTAACTGTTGATACGTTTTTTGTACTCTTCTTTTGTATGAACCACTTTTTTTCAACCGCTTCCATTTATTTAAATCCATTTTTACATACAAAAATCGTAAAAAATAGTGACAAAAAGCAAAAACATTGACAACAACGATAAAAGAAACCAAAATGGCCCCAACAATATATTTTTGAGACCATTATAAGCAATAGTATTCTTTTACGTGGTTTCACGAACTTTATTTTGATTGGTAATTATATTAAATAGGATCATTATAAACGTGTTAAGACTACAACAGTGCTCGACATATTTACATTAGAACCAAGTTCAGTTACTCTTAGACTAAACCGTTATAAACTCAGTTACCCATTATTGATCCATAATGTCAACCTAAAAACCTTTATAAATTCAAGTAACAAGTGAAAATGGTTTCCAGTACGATTAGTTCCAATAAATACTCTTAAATGCGTACTTTATTTTTATTGGATTTATAAAGATCCTTGTAGTCCATTACAAGTATAGCTTACAGAACCATGTATTCTTGAGCGCGTTAACACTTTTGGAGTTCCCCTATAGGACATCTTAGCCTATACTGTGCTGGTAAAACGGGTCTATAAACGATAATAAATAAATGTATAAGGATAGATGTACTACAAAGCCAAATAGATTCCGAACATGCTTTTAAAGGCATGGCAGTAATTTCTAGAAGCTCTAAGAGATCTTTATTAGTGCTTCAGGATTGTAAAATGTGCATTATAGGATAATTTTGTTGCTTGGGTAGCTTAATATGTTAGTAGGTAGGTACAGTCAACCGTATATATGCATTTATTGAAATTCAGTGCCAAGATTTTTTTTTCCAGTTTTGAATATCTTAATGTACTTTTGGATGAGTGTTTATTGTTAAGAGATTATATACATATATCGAAACAATTGTTTTATTTTTAAGCAAATGAATATACATGAACATGTATTGAAACCGCAACGAATCCATATTTCCATTCCAATATTTTATATGAGAGAGTGTGTCTGTCTGTTACCTGTTCACGCTTAAACCGCTGAACCGATTCAGATGAAATTTTAATATAGATATATTTTAAGTCCCGGGGTAAGACATAGTACAGTTTTCATACTTTAAGCGGGTGAAAATTTATATGGGAAAACACTTAAACAATTCAAACGACATCTAATAACGTTTAATGAATTAAGGCACTCGCTGGTAACGTTTAATATATGAACGAATAATATATTATAAATGATCTTAACAATTACATTCAATTACAATATTATGGGTTTGGATTAAAAAGAAAAAGCATTAAGCGAAACATTTACTTACTTCAAATGTAATCATCCAAATAACACTTTAGCACACACCAAACCGAAACGTACCACAAAAAACAACGAAACGCACAACTTTTATTTTTTTTAATATAAAAATTCAAGATGGACGTCGCGCGTCCGCCCCGGTCTGGCGCGCGAATGTGAATACGAAATTGAGTTTTCAAAATCGGAACATTCAGTCACCAATATTATATGACCTCTACTTAGCATGAGAAGTGCGAACGGGGAGCTCTCCATAAATTGGTGGCCACAAATCCTTACCATGGTTCGTTGACTATCGTTGTAGACTAAAATAGGCTGTAAATCAATCGCGTTAAGGTAGTTATAGCTTTGTATTGTCTGGAATAGCATATTTTGTAGATTTATCGTCCAACGTAAGCATTGATAAGAAGGTAATGCGTGTGCCTTTACACAGGTGAAATAGGAAGTATTAAAAATATTTCTATGGCAGAAATAAACGTATAGATAGGGAATCAATACGGACTCTCCATAACAATGGCTTTACAAACTAAATACTATCATTCTTACCACAGAAAGAGGTCAGTAGATAGGTAGACCGTTTGTACGGGAACCGTACGGGAACCTACCTAATACATAGCCAATCAAACGACGCGACTTCAAACAATCGAACCAATCAGCGCTCACACCCTAGAGCAACGACGCAATCAGAACCAAGTTTTGGTCAAGTTATGGGCATTTGCTCACATACAACTGTGGCGCGCGCGCCTGCCCAGCCCACAAGGCCCTTCTAAGATATCTCTTTCTGTGTTCTGTGATTCCTACATTGTTACAGATTCATTAATTTCTTAAAGTTTAAAATAAATATAATTTTATGCAACAATGGCACTTTTCCTTCCATAGCATTGAAAATAAAACCCTTGCGTTCATAAATCCATAGGTATTTACCATTATCCATATCCATACGAATGATATGTGCAAAGTGTGTCAGTCTGTCCCTTAAATCGCCCCCTAAATAAATGAATAGCCCCCTATCAAAATAATTGTTATTTAAAACAATTCAAAATAAGATTATCCACAAAGTAGGTAAGGTACAGTTTAATCATCAACATGTATATTGTTTGTTTGTGATGTGTTGTGCACCTGTTGCATACAATAGTGTTGTTTGTGTGGGTGTGCATATCTCACACAATATTGTGTGGGACAAGCCACGCGTGACGCACACAGAAGGTTGCTCTACCAACGGTTGTAACCAATTATTGAAACCTCGGGCAGTTATAAGTAAATAATAAATTACTGAAAGAAATAAATAAATATACTAATAATAAGTTTCACTTTAAAAACCTGGAACTCGATCACAATGCTATGATCCTACTCATGAATCTACACCATCTAGAATGCGTACATGACATTTCATCCAACTCTGTTCATGCGTTTAGTCTAGATAAAAATCATCCCGACACATAAACGACGGTCTTATGGATAGAATCTAAATCTAAACAGTGGATAACTCCACCCGAATGTACATATTATACAAAAACGAGCGTATCCCTTCCATAAAACGCCGGCATAGCATTTGTCATACGTAAATTCTGTCTCAATAGTGGTTCAATACAACCGCTTTTGAATATATGACTTCGTCTGCGTGAAAAAATCGGTTTCCCATACAAATTTTCGCCCCCTTTTCATCTCCTTAAAGGATAATGATTTCGGTGATAAAAACTATCCTTTGTACTTTCCCAGGACTCAAACTATTGACATACTCATTGGTATAGCTGTTTAAGCGTGAAGAGGTAATACTTGACTTTTATTACAGTAACTTATTTTAGTACTAGTTACAATGAAAGAAATGGTAGGTGGATGAGATATCCGTTTTTTCCACGCAGACGAATAAATCAAAAGGAAGTAGCAAATCCTGTTATAATCTACTAATATAATAAATGTGAAAGTTTATATGGTTGCCAATCAATCAAGCAAAAACGACTCAACGTATTTGGATGAAATGTGGCGCACGTATAGTTTATTGACTGTTGATGTGAGGTGGTTGAATTAAATAAAAGTGGATTTTCCATAGACTGGTTTACTGTTAAATTAAATTAAGACCCTACAGAGCGTATTTTTTACAAGATGGCGTGAGAGTCTAGAATGCTTTTCTTCCGCCTCCGGCCGCTGTTGCCAGCCCCTCCTGTGTGGCCAGGGTGTGTCCATGTCCATGGCAAAATAGTGTTCTTTTCCCAACAGAGAATAAGATGTTTTTTAACCTGGTAAAATGTTTGGTTCCTGTGGGATTCCAAAAAGCGGCTAGCCGCTAGAAAATAAATAAAACAGAGCAACCTCAAGTGCGTATCCGCAACACCGGTAGAGTGTTCACGCATGGTGGGGTAACACATCACCCCTTCTGACCGAGTGAGGTTCAGCGGTCACGGCAGACCCAGTTCGATGCCCGGTTTAATAAAGGTAACAATGATGCTCTCAATACTTTTACAGTTTTGTAAACAAAGGATGTAAAATAACGGCAATAACTGTATCACTATCAGAACGATATTAAATACCCTACTTAGCCTAGATACACTATGTGCTCTCAAAATGTGTCCAAATCAAGTGCTTGAACTCCACTCAAGCACTTCTTGGTTCACAGTCTGGCGTTATATAAGTCAACATGCCGCGGGGCTCCGTGAAAAATGCGAAAAATATACTACTACAATTGAATCAAATGTTCTAATACTTACTAGAAACTGATTTAAAAGAAAATATTTGTGATATTCAAATGCATGATCGGTTATATTTTAGTTAAATGTTTAATACTTGAAAAAGTATTCATTTGACATTGTGGGTTACTTACAATGCGAAGAGATGGCGCTGCCTTGCAGCTTAAGGCTAGGAAAATTTCGACGCGAAGGGTGCGGGTTCGAGTCCCGTCCGCTGCCTGGTCCGCGTGGATTTTTTCTAGTAACTTTTCTTTAGGTTTAAACATCTAGCAGTTAAATGCTTAAAAAAATAAAAACAAAACTATATTTTAGTGTTTTGAGTGTTTACAGGTTTTGACAGGTGTATAAAAATCAATTATTCGTAAAACTGTAATATTTTTTTTCTCAAAAATCGCCGTTTGTCGGGAATGTTATTTTCGTAATCGCCATTTTGTTATCAAGAAAAGGACATCAATACAGCTCAGCCGTTCGCACTCGGAAGCGGTTTCGCCGTTTTGCTCTCTCTGCGTTGAAGCGTACAGTTCTGTCTCACTCGCTCGATTGCATGTTATTTACAGACGTCTGCTTGTGTGAGAGTTGCTTATGTAGTCGATTCGGAAAATATTTTATTTGATGCTAGTATGCGCGTATCGTATCTATCTACCATTTTTGTTTTAAACTAAGCTTATGTTGAAATAAAATGTCTGGTTCTAATTAAGTGATAGCTGCCTCTACCTGCATAATAAAATTCATTAATAATGTTACTACTTATTTATATTGTGTTATTATCATGGATGTACTATAATTCAAATACATGCTAATATAATTGTAATAGTTTATCCCGCGATAAATGCGCTGATCAAAAACACTGCACATCAATATTGCTAATGATATTTTCCAAGGCGTTAAATTTTTCATTTCAAGTCATCTATTGGTTGAACTTATTCACTCACTTTTTAATATATACTATAAGATTATTAAAATTATTTCTCACAATTAAAAATTACGTACAACAATAATTTCTTTGAGTCATTCGCTCAACTAACGTGATGGTTTTTATGCACCAGTAATAACATTAATTAAAAAATACACGTGCTTGAAACAATGGTCTCATTCAAACAGGAGTGTTTTTGTGGCAAAGAAAATTCGCTTGCCTACGATATACCGCATTATTGCAAATCCTCCTTATTTAATCACCGCTTGAAAACATAATGTTTATAGTATTTTATCAAAACAGGTACTAGAAAATAACTTTTACATACTCGTGAAATAAAAATGCCATAAAAACGTAACTTATGAAAAACCTAGTCTCGCAACGCGTTGTGAGATCCACGCAGTGCCGTCTTTGAACTATTGGAGGTCCTGGGCATATTAAGATAATGGGGCCCCTATGAATTCCGTTTGGTGATTTAACAGGAACTAGGGACTTTGCATTTGATCTGAGGGGGGCCCCTATCGATCGCGGGGCCCTGGGCACTTGCCCAAAGATGGGTCTGGATCCACGTAATAAGTACCAAGTCGGTTAATATATTCAGTACCTACTTAAGGGAGAGTCTGACTTAAATTGTTACGTAATTAGCTAACCTTACAGCATCTTATAGTGACCATATCAATATTAAAAATCTTTTATGTTTTGAATAAATACATTCACTTGGCCATACTAAATGGTATCTGTCTGCCTGTCACCTTTTTCACGCTTAAACCACTGAACCGATTGAGATGCAATTGGGTTTAGATATAGATTAAATCCCGAGCAATATCTGTACATTATAGTTTTTATTCCAGAAATCACCTTTCACGTCTACGAAAAGAGTAATTGAATTATCTAAGCCTTGTCAAATGCCTTTAGACTATTTGAAAAGCCACCGAAAAGGGCCTTAGGCATGGGAGCTTAATTTTCCTTCGCCAAGCTTTAAAAAATGCCTCCGTTCCATACCTTCTTATCCCAGAAATGTGAAAAGGCAGGTTTTTTCTCATCAGGGGAAGAGGTAGACCACAGGGAATTGACACTACTATTTGGATGCACCTACTATGTTTCTTTTGGTGAGAGTAGCAAAGTGAGGATTGCTGGAACATTAATCTGCTGTACCAGCTATTCTTGGGATTGAACTATACTCTTAAGAGCTATAGAGATGAGTAACTTATTATCTAATCTTCTCAATATAGGTAAATTACCGGTAAAATGGTCCTACTTTGCTCCAATATTTGCTCTAAAAAAAGGGAATTATGAATATTGTTTACACTATTAATTATGAAATATATTCAGATGTATTAATTTAAACAATAATATGTTATCTAACATATTTTTAAAGTTAAATCAACGTAATGAAGTATTTCCTAATATATATAAAACTATGAATAAGGAGCAGTTACCCATGGTCATGGGTAACTTTGCTCCTAGGTATATTCCACAAACAATCTTCATTGTAGAAGCTTTTTGGGAAAAGTTATGCTTTCCTTATTCAAACTATGCTCCAGTTGTATTACGCT